TGAAAAAGATCTTGAGGTACGGGTGGACCATAAGTTAAATATGAGCAGCAAGTGTGATGTGGCAACAAAAAAGGGTAATGTGATCTTGGGGTGTATCAACAGAGGCAATAACATCCAAATTTCAAGATGTCATAGTCCCACTGTACACTGCATTGGTCAGGCTGCACCTGAAGTACTGTGTGCAGTTCTGGAGGTCTCACTTTGATGTGGACAGAATGGAGCGGGTGCAGAGGAGAGCGATGAGGACGATGGGGGGCCAGGAGACCAAGCCCTATGAGGAAAGGCTGAGGGACCTGGGAATGTTTAGTCTGGATAAGAGGAAGTTGGGGGGGGCATGATTGTTCTCTTGAAGTATTTGAAGGGCTGTCGCTTAGAGGAGGGCAGGGAGCTGTTGCTTTCTGGCAGTAGAGCATAGGACTCACAATTATGGGTTTAAATTAAGAGCAGGAAGGCTGGATATTAGGAAAAACGTTTTTAGAGTAAGAGTTGTGCAACAGTAGAATCAGCTGCCTAGGGAGGTGGTGAGTTCCCCCTCACTGGTAGTCTTTAAACAGTGGCCGGACAAACACTTGTCAGGGATGCCCTAGGCTGATCCTGCAATGAGCAGGGGGTTGGACTAGATGGTCTGTATGGCCCCTTCCAACTCTGTGATTCTATGATTATACATGGTAAGTTTTATAGCATATGTAAAAAGTATAGCCTACAAAGCCTACCATGTAGTGTGATAGAACTGACATGTGCAAAAATGTCTGGGGCATGTGTAATTTCAAATGTAGAAAGGATTAAACTATGGAAGACCAGTCAGATTTTTCCATATACATCACTTTTTTTGCAGGGAAGTTGGAGTACAAATATTTTAAATAAACAAACTCACTAAGAATTACACTTAGCTCACCCATGCATTGCCGTATTATTTTATGGTTTTGGCCAGCTCCTATTAGTTAGGCAGGACATTTTGCCTGGAATAATTACCATAGGAGCTTTCTTCTAGGTAAATAGAGCTAGATAGAACCCAAAGGAGGAATATTTACATTTTGTATACACAGAATAATTACAGTTAAACACACTGGTGCCATTCTTCACAGATGTTCTTTAATCATTCAGCTGATCTATGTCTGATTATAGTATTAGTTCTTTGTATCATTCCTGTCACCCTTAAGGTCCAAGGTTGGGGACAGAGGGTGGTGCTTGGGGGGGGAATTATCTCAGAGACCACTGCTAGAATGTGATGCGCTGTAGGCGTTGATTTTCTTCCCAATGCTGTTTAATATCTACATGTGCCCCCTCGCCCAGATTATCCAGAGGTATGGGCTGGGTTGACACCCAGCTCTATCTACTGACGAATGGCCACCCGGACTCTGCCCCAGAAAATTTGGACAGGGCATTACAAGCTGTGGCTGGTTGGTTACAACAGAGCAGACTGAAATTGAATCCATTGAAGACAGAGGTCCTGTACCTGGGTCGTGGGGGACTGGGATTGGGGATCAGGCTCCCAACCTTTGACGGGGCCCTACTGGTGCCAGTGCTGAAGGTGAAGAGCCTGGGCGTGTTCCTGGATGCCTCACTAACTATGAAGTCCCAGGTCGCCGCCACTGCCAGGTCTGCCTTTTCCCACCTGAGACAGATCAGGCAGTTGGCCCCATATCTCACCCCCCGGGACCTGTCTACAGTGACTCATGCAATGGTCACTTCCAGATTGGATAATTGTGATTCTCTCTGTGGGGCTGCACTTCATTCTGCTCTGGAAGCTGAAGTTGATGCAGAACACATCAGTACAGGTGTTGACTTTGTTGTCTGTGCAGACACGGATCCATCCAGTGCTGCGCAAACTACACTGTCTGCCTATTGAGTACCGGATCCGTTTCAAGGTGTTGGTGCTTATCTTTAAAGCCCTATACAGCCAGAGGCCTGCATATCTGTGAGACCGCCTTAGTTAGGGTGGCAGGTGTCCCCCCTCTCTACTGGGTCTCCCCTCAGTGGGTCAGATCCGCATTACCATCTAAGGACCAAAACTTGAAATAGATGGCATCTGTGAGGCTTTAGCTATGACTTGTACCAGAGGAATGTTGTTGCATTTTATTGAGGTTTTAACTGTTTTTAATTCTTTGTATGCTGTATATTGTTTATTATGTTTGATGGAACCCACCCTAAACTTGCTAAACAGGGGGGACAGGATATCAATCCAAGCAAATAAATAAATAAATAAAATTAATAGGCTATAGTTTCCTTAGAACCCAGAAGAAAAAGAGAGCTGCCTGCCTCTGTTTTTGAAGAAACCCTCCATCACACACACTTTCTCTCTCATCTTTACCTTTAAGAAGGCATCAGCCAAAGTGCTCTGACCAGAGACCGAAATGAACAGAGACATCAAGAATTTTCAAAGCAAAATATATTTTTCTGTTGCTAGTTTATATCTGATCTCAAGAGTTTCCAACCAGACCTTTCTTGGTGGATTTATGCTCAGATGCAGCTATTTTATTTAAAAACATTTGTACCTTGCTTTTGTGAAAAGGCTCAAGAAACTTAACAAAAACAACACATTTGAAAACCAGAAGCTCAACTCAATAAAATCCAGTAATCTCAAATACCCAGAAACTCAACCCAATAAACCAGAAGCTCAACCCAATAAAATCCAGTAGTCTTAAAGTACAAGTCAAAACATACTGATTCAGAAAAATGCCTCCTGAAATAATATAACTTCCCAAGTTCTTCTAAAGGGCAACGAGGAAGAGGTTTGACATGCACAGGTATAATGTGGTCATGCCCCATAAGGAAACAGGCAGCCACCAGGTGAAGCTTTCCAGTTGTCCTCAAGAGCAGCCCTACATATAGCTCACTACTGCAAACCAGCCAAGAGGTTGCAGTAGCATAGATCCATACAGTCAGATCAACAGAGTCCAGAAGGGAAGACAATTTCCAGATCAGATGTAATTGAAAGAAAGCACTCTTTGTCACACCCTGCATTTGTTTCTCAAAAACCCACACAAAATGCAAAAGCAGTCCAAGGGTTTTTTTTTAATCTGCTAGTACAGAGGTAGCTAGGGAAGGAAGGCATAGCCCAATCTTGTCAGATCAAGAAGTTAAGCAGGGCTGATACCTGGATGGGAGACCACCAAGAAGACTCCGCAGAGGAAGGCACTGGCAAACCATCTCTGTTTCTCACTTGTCTTAAAAGCCCCTGTCTGAGGTCACCAGAAGTCACTTGATGGCACATACATATGCATGCAGGGAGACAGCTTAACTTTCACCAGGCTTTTGATTAGGAGCCGCCACTGACGAATGCGCCACCGGAACATACTACGGTCCGCATGAAACATCAGTGGATATTGCCTTCCTCTGTATATTGAATGCCGCCATCATTTGTATTGTCCTTGTTAGAATTCTATGATGTTAGGTAATTGTTATTTATATTTTATTATATTTTATTGTAATTATTGTTTTACTGCTTTTAATGCTTGTTCACCGCCTTGAGCCAGTTCCCTGGCAAGGCGGGATACAAATTGAAAATAATAAATAAATAAACCAAAGACAGGGACATCAATTGCCTCCAGAACACCAGCTCTAGTAACTAGCATCACTTCTATATTGTCATTTGATCATGAAAATTCAGACACTGGTTCTGGACAGAAAAGCTATATCAGCAGCCTTAAAGATAACATCATAGAAAGTTTAGCTTCAATCGGTATATTGATGACATTCAACCCCAAAACTACGGACTACTTCACTAAACGGCCTGAAACAGATGTCAAATAATATGGTTAAAATACAGAACTCTAAGCAATACAGTTAAGTGACTAGACAACTGATTCTGCATCTCCAATAGAAACTCTGTGTTATACCAGATTTTTAAAAGAGCTTGAAACCAGTGTAGTACAATACCTGTAACCCCTCCCTGGCTTTTCTGATTGATGTAATAAGATAAAATTATCAACAATATGGAAAGCCACCAATTAATCTAAATGTCAACAAGGAAGATGTGCTGCCCTCCAAATGGAGATCATCTACCAGTACAACTAAAGTGGTTGAATCCACAAACTAGGCATAAAGCTGGACTGAAATTCATCAAATGCAGAAGCATCATTCAGGTATGCTTGGGGTCACTCTGCTATCAGTCACGTACAATGCCATCCTATGCAAACGTATACCCTTCTAACTCCATTGAAGTCAATAGACCCAGAAGGATATAATTCTATTTAGCACTTTTCCAGATGAAAAGGATAGGTTGCTGGCTCTGCTCCTGTTTCGATTTGATCATGACTTGCATATTGGGATTTTAGAAACTTGCTGATGAACTGTATTTGGATAAGAAAGATTGAAATATTACTGATGAAAAGTCTAATTGAAACGGAAGCAGAGCCGGCAACCTGTCCTTTTCATCTGGAAAGAGCTACCTTTCATCTAGAAAAAGATTTATTCTTCAGAAGAATGCTTTTCATCTGGAAAGAGCTATCTTTCATCTGGAAAAAGGATCATTCTTTTTGAAGAGGAAAGCTGTTTCATCTTATCCAGAAAAAGGTTCATCTTATTTATACAAGAAAAAATGAATGGGATTTACACTATAATTATTCTCTCAGAAGTACTGGAACGGGACTTATGAGATTCTTAAAGGTTCTCTTGAACTGGCTGTAATACATTGCTGTTCTTTATATATCATTTTATAAAAGAGATCTCTGGGACTCTGGAGAATATATGAATTAAATTTATTCTATAAACAGTGTTTTTGTACTCTAACAGAACACTCTGCTTATTATAACTGCACCTTACAGTCATGCACTTTGTGCTTTTCTGTACATTTACCTGTGGTTGTGCTACTGTTTTTGTTGTTTCTACAATTAGCCAACTCATCCTTAGTCAGAAAAGCCTTTTCAAATAAAGGTCTAATTATCATTTCCTTGAAGGATTGCATAAAGTTCTTCTCCAGCAGATGCATTAATAATTCTGGCCAACGGAATGCTAATCTTTTCCTCGCAAGGTTTGACTTGCAATTAAGTGATAATTTAGAAGAAGAAGAGGAGAGAAGAGATTGGATTTATACCCCGCCCTTCACTTGGAGTCTCAGAGCGGCTTACAAACTCCTTTCCCTTCCCCTCCCCACAACAGACACCCTGTGAGGTGGGTGGGGCTGAGAGAACTCTGACACAAACTGCTCTTTTTCAAGGACAGCTGTGCCAGAGCTTGTGACTGACCCAAGGTCACATCAGCAGGTGCAAGTGGAGGAGTGGGGAATCAAACCCGGTTCTCTCAGATTAGAGTCCACACACTTAACCACTACACCAAACTGGCTCTCCCAAGGATCCTGTCCACATTCAGAAAGAGCAACCTGAATTTATCTACACAATATTGACAAAAGGATGCTTCTGATACCCCCAAGGCAATGGACTCATATTTAGCTTGGCATGGCATCCAAGTGAGACCAGATAAGAACTACCAGCACAAAAATCTATCCAAAGTGGGAACTGTGTTCAAATAAATCATCTTCCTCAAGGGGGCTGGATCTGTTAATAGACACTGCACCATCTTAAACTGCTGGACAGGATTACACTGACGCAATAGTCGTGAAAAAGAGGGGAGATCTGTATGGCAACTAGGAGACAAATTTAAAAAAAACCTTTAGGCATGCTAATTTAAAAATACTCTACAAAAGGGATGAGGCCAAACCATGTGCTTATGAGATGCCTGTTTGCAGTGAAAAGAGGTAATGTCCTGCAAAGATGAGGGGATTGAATTTGTGAGTAGCTGGCAGGCTGGGTACTCTTCATAATTTCTTCCTTTTAAAGTTTAGATTTTAGCTTAGACTCTTCCCTGACAAGTAAATTTTCCACACAAAAGGAATTTTTACATTTCTCCCTCCCAATTACAATCTGAAATTACAATCTGGGGATTATTAGGAAGGGAACTGAAAACAAATCAGACAGTATCATAATGCCCCCATATAAATCAATGGTGCAACCTCATTTGGAGTACTGTGTGCAGTTCTGGTCACCACACCTCAAAAAAAATATTATAGCATTGGGAAAAGCGCACAAAAGGGCAACTAGAATGATCAAAGGGTTGGAACACTTTCCCTATGAAGAAAGGTTAAAGCGCTTGGGGCTCTTTAGCTTGGAGAAATGATGGCTGAGGGGTGACATGATTGAGGTTTATAAGATTATGCATGGGATAGAGCAGGTTGAGAAAGTACTTTTCTCCCTTTCTTACATACAAGAACTTTTGGGCACTCAATGAAATTGCTGAGCAGTCGGGTTGGACTCATAGGGGCAAATTCCACCTCTCACGTGTGATGTACGCCGCTCGGACATCACACATGAGAGGTCATTCTGGTTCCCCGAGCTCTCCTTCGGGGCTCCTTAAAAAGTTATGGCTACCGCCGCCGTTCTCAGCAGCAGCTGCGACGTCCGCGGGGGGGCCAAACGTTCTTTTACCTCCCTGGGCCCCGGGGTGGTGGCCTTGGACTCGTAGGGGCAAATTCCACCTCTCACGTGTGATGTACGCCGCTCGGACATCACACGCGAGAGGTCATTCTGGCTCCCCCAGCTATCCTTGGGGGCTCTTTAAAAAGTTATGACCGCTGGCGCTGTCGGCAGTAGCTGCAGTGGCGGGGGGCGGGGCGAAACGTTCCCTTGCCTCCCTGAGCCCTGGGGTGGTGGCCTTGGACTCGTAGGGGCAAATTCCACCTCTCGCGTGTGATGTCCGAGCAGCACATCACACACGAAAGGTCATTCTGGCTCCCCAAGCTCTCCTTCGGGGCTTTTTAAAAAGTTATGGCTACCGCCGCTGTTCTCAGCAGCAGCTGCGACGTCCGCGGGGGGGGCCCAACATTCTT